CCCCATCCCCCCATTGGCCCACCGCCTACAAGCCACGCCCCAGACGCGCTCTCCGCCCGCGGGCTACGCCCCCGAGCTGCCATTGGCGAACCTCCCACTGGCCCTGCTCTTCAACTGACATATTGTCCCGCCCCTGTATTTCTATTGGTCTGTTTTCCCACTAGACCTGCCCCATGCTCCATACGCCCCTCCCCCACAGCGCCCGCCCTTGCAACGCCATAGGTCCACCGGAAAGAGTCTCCGCCCTCTCCCTTCCCCGGCTGAGGGTCTGCCCGGTACGGAAGGCCCCGAGGACCCTCAGCTCGCCGCCCCGGCCATTTTCTCCCGGGGGGCCCTGGAGGCCGCGATCTTGGCTGTCTGTGTAGGTTGTGCTCCATCCCGTGCGTTCGCTCCCTGGTTTGATCCTTGCTCGTTTCCTGAGAAAGGTGGGCCTCCACGCCGTACGCAGCCCCTAGGAGCAGCCTGCAAGGGACTCAGTGGCCTCTCTGTGAGATGAGCATAATCTGAATTCGGATCTGCAGCTGTGTGGTCTTGGGCGAGTGCCTTAACTTCTCTGCGTCAGTGTTCTAGTCTATGAAAAGGCATCGTGGAAATAAAAGGAGTGTAAAGTGCTCAGAACAAAGCCTAGCACATAAGCCACAAATGCGTGTGTAAGGCGATGAATGGACCTGTTTTTTTTGTTTTTTTGGTAGTAAATATTGAAGCCAGTGCAAGCACTCTACCCCTAAACTACATCCCCATCTCCTCACTGGCAGATGCTCTACCACTAAGCTGCATCCTTAGGTACTGTTTTTACTTTTTATTTTGAGACAGGGTCCCCAGGTTGGCATTGAACTCCTTCTGTAACCTAGGCAGGCCTCAAACTTGCAATCCTCCTACCTTGGCCTCCCAGCTACCTGGGATAACAGGCCTGCACCACCACACCCCACTGGATTGCATCATTTTAAAGACCTAAGACAAGACAGTGACCTATCTGGGCATCCAGGAAACTATAATTGCCAGCTGGGCTGGTCAGGACCCAGCCCTATAGAAAGTAGCTGCTTGGCTCTCTTCCCACCAAGTGCAGCCTGCACATCCTCTTGGCTCTGCCACTCACCACCCTGGGGCCTTGTTTAAGGGCCTTCAGTGTTCTGAGAAACTGGTTTCCACACCTCCACCTGCCTGGTGGCATCTGCTAACAGGCTGGGCAGTGACTTCTGACTTCCAGGCAGACTTGTCTCATCAGACTGCCTGGAGGCACCTGCTTTTCTGCAGCACTGTCCCAGGGTAGAGGCCCTTGCAGAACTGTGGGTTTCCATGTCCTGTTAGGAAAATAAGCTTGGGACAGGAAGAGAGAAGCCACCACACTCTCCATCCCTAAAGGCCAGAAGGCCAAGATCAAAGCCACTGTCAGGAACATTTTACTACCTGACCTGACCTGGTGGGATATAAATGCAGTTGGTAAGATGCCCACCTCAGCAGACCTGCCTGGGCTGCTTAGCCTGTCTCATTTGTATACTGGGATCTCCCATTCCTGACTCTGCTTTTGGGGTTCTACTGTTCTAAAGATGAATGACAGCAACAGGGACCGTCCTCATGTGTTGGGACAGTTTCTAGTCCTTGTTACAACATCCTCCACAGCCACAGAGAACCCTGTATCCTTGCTTGGACCCAACATTAGTGAAGATGCTGGTGATACTATCAGGGTTTATGCATATAGGCATGCAGTTTCGGGGTTCCCTGCCCCATTTCTAGAAGCTTCCATCAAATTGGGGGTTTTCTTCTGACAAGGCCAGAAAGACTGCCCATTATGTGGCAAATTGTGTTCCCAAAAGGAAATGTTCACAAGCAGATGTAGAGGTACATGCCTAGGAAGAGAGTCACAAGTTCAAAGCCAGCCTGGACTACATTGCAAATTTGAGGTCAGCCTGGGCTATACTGTGAGACCTGCTCTAGAAAAGGAAGGGAGGGAGGGAGGGAGGGAGGGAGGGAGAGCTATTGATTAATTGCAGTATTTGGTCAATGAAATCCTTTCCTAAGGGAGTCCCTGAAGAAAAAGTTACAAGAGGTGTCTAGAGTGGAGAAAAGGGGGCTAGTGAGATGGCTCAGCAGGTAAAGGTGCGTGCTACCAAGTCCGACAACCTGAGTTCAATCCCTGGGACCCACATGATGGAAGAGGAGAACCAACTCTCACAAGTTGTACTCTGACCTCCATGTGGAACAGCACAGCTGGAGCCTCCCTGGGTGGAGCTGAGCCCCCATCCAAATGCTGAGAGATGCCAGAGAGACATCCTCTCACAACAGGAACAGACAGCCTGCTGCACAAGACAATGAGCCTTAGATGAGTCCAAATAGTGAAGTTGGGAACAGGACAGGAAGGAAGCCCTCCCACCCGCCTGCTTTGGCCAGCACTCACTGGCCAGAGCTGTGGTTGCTCTTCCTCCTTGCTGTGACATGTCTAGAGCTGGAGACTGGACTTTGGTCACCTCTACAGGAGGCAAAACTGAGGCCTGGGTCCTGCCATTGGTCAGGAAACCCAAAGAATTTCCAGTGAGACAGGGAACCACCACAGTTCAGCTACAACCCACCAGCTTCTTCTCCTTCCCTCTCTTGTTTCCTCTGTCCCTCTCTTTCTCCCTTCCTCTCTCCCTTCTTTCATTTCTGTAAAGTAGAATTTATGAGGGTCTGGGAGATGGTACAATGGATAAGTGTTTGCTGTGCAAACATGAGGACCTGAGTTCAAATCCCCAGCACCCATGTAAAGGCCAAATGTGGTAGTATACACCTGTAACCCCAGTGCTGCGGGGAGGGGGAAGAGATGGATGGATTTCAGGGACTTACTGGCCAGTAAGTCTAAGCAATCAATGAACCCCAGTTTCAGCGAGACAGCCTGTCTCAAAAAATAAGGTCAGTGGGGTTGGAGAGATGGCTCAGCAGTTAAGAGCACTGGCTGCTCTTGCTGAGGACCCAGCTTCAGTTCCAGCATCCACATGGCAGCTAACAATGGTCCTTAACTCCAGTTCCAGGGGATCCTGGGTGTTGCACGCATGTGGTACACTTAAATACATACAGGCAAGACACTCATAAACTAAAAATCAATCAATCAATGGGGCTGGAGAGATGGCTCAGAGGTTAAGAGCACTGGCTGCTCTTGCGGAAGAGCTGGGTTTGATTCCCAGCACCCACATGGTGGCTGACAACTGTCCATAACTGCAGTTTCAGAAGATCCAACACCCTCTTCTGACCTCTGTGGGCACTGCATGACATAGATGCTCTTACATACTTGTAGGCAATATACTCATACACATAAAAATAATAAAGTATTTTTAAAAAATCAGTCAAAAAAATTTAAAGGTGGCGGATAGAGAAAGATACCCAGGGTCCCCCTCTGGTACACCCACATGCATGGCTGGGGCTGCTTGCATACAAACATGTACACCCACATACACACTATGCATACAGAATTTTTTTTTTTTTTTGTCTTTTTGAGACAGGATCTCCCTGTAGCCCCAGCTGTCCTGGAACTCACTATATAGACCAGGCTAGCCTTGAACTCACAGAGATCTGCCTGCCTCTGCCTCCCAGGTGCTGGGATTAAAAACGTGTCCTCTGTGTGGGGAGCACCAGGCAGAAGCATCTAGAACAGAGGACCTGGTGAGTTAAGTCAGGTGTCCCACAGGGGCTGTATCCCCAGGTCAGAGAGGTGGCTAGGCTGAGGCTCCTGAAAGGTTGTCCCAAGACTTACAGCCACCGGGAGAAAAGCCAGACCCCAGCTGCACGTGTCCAGCCTGAGCCAGGCCCCCAGATGCTGGGGCCTCAGCCAGGACAATGGAATTCCCTGAGTTTGGACCCCATCCAGTGAGGCTTGCATTTTCTGTAGACAGCATTCATGAAAACTGACAGGGCGAAGACTGGAAGCTTCAATTCCCCCTCTGCATCCTGAGACGTGACAGGGTGACAGAGCCATACAGCCAGAGGGGGTATCTGGCTCCTTCCAAACACCTGATTGATGCACTCTGACCACAAGAAAGTCCTGGGGGCATTTCTTTTCAATCCAGCCCTGTGGGCCTGTGATTCTAGAGTTTGGGAGAGATGCCAGCCAGCCAGCACGGTCCTCAGAAACCTGTGGAGCAACCATCCAAACACAGCCTGAGCCAGTGACGGTGTGACTACCTTTCATTTTAGGAAATAAGCAGGAGGCCTCTGAGCCCCCAAGAACACTGACTCAAGTCCTAGTTGCACACCTTCCAAGTCAAGAAGAAACCTAAGGTAGAATCCCAGTGCTGGCCCTGGTGATGTAGGCCTGTCCTTCCAGATATACAGGAGGTTGAGGTAGAAGGATCACAATTTTGTTCAAGGACTGTCTAGACTGTGGAATGAGTTCAGTGCCATCTTGGGCATCTTGATGAGATCTGGCCTCAAAAAAAAAAAAAGTAAAGAGGCTAGTGATGTAGCTCAGCAGTAGAATACTTGCCTAGAATCTTCCAGTAAGGATCTGGGGGCATGGCTCAATGGTAGAGCACCTAACTAGAATCCCCCAGTGAGGGGTCTGGAGAGATGGCTTAGTGGTTAAGAGCACAGGCTGTTCTTGTAGAAGACCTGGGTTTGAATTCCAGCACCCACATGGTGGTTAACAGTCTGTAACTCCAGTTCCATGGGATCCGACGCCCTCTTCTGTCCTCTGCAGGCATTGCACAACACAGATGCACTTGCATACATGCACATAATAAT